GCATGCATGTATCACTATGATATGATGTTTTCAGATCCTCTGGGAAGATTGACAGAAGAGGAATAGCTGGTTTAAAGGGGATTTCCAGTCTAACTTTTCTGAGGAGTCTCCATACTGATTTCCATAATGGTTGCACCAGTCTACATTCCCACCAGCAGCGGAGAAGGGTACCTTTTTCCCCACAGGCTCTCCAACATTTGTTGTTGTGTGATTTCTTTATGATAGCCATTCTTTCTGGGGTGAGATGATATCTCACTGTGGTCTTAATTTGCATTTCACGAATGGCTAGTGATGTGGAGCATTTTTTCATATATTCACTTCTTTAATTTATTCCTCCGAGAAGTGTGTGTTCATCTCAGAAGCCCCTTCTCGATTGGGTCTTTAAAGTTTGGGGCACTAGTGTTTTTACCTCTTTATAGATTCTAGAGAGCAGACCTTGTCTGAGTACTTATTTATCATGATTTTTTCCAAATTTTTGGGTTGCCTTTTCACTTTGTTTGTAATTTCTTTTGACGTGAAAAAACTTCTCATTAAGAGCAGGTCCCAGTTGTTAATTCTTTCAACTGTTTCCGGTGCGATTTGATTTCTGTCCATGAAATCTTTGCCTACCCCGATGTCTTCAAGAGTTCCTCCTACTTACTCTTCCAGGAGATTAGGTGTCTCTGCTTTAATGTTTAGATCTTTAATCCAATTGAACTTTAGTTTAGTGCATGGTGATAGACCTCGGTCAAGTTTGAGTTTTCGACATGTAGAGAGCCAGTTTTTCCAGCACCATTTGTTAAAGAGGCTAACTGTCAAAGATAAGGTGGCTGAGTGTGTTCATAGGGACTTCAGCATCTTCTAATCTATCCATCGATCCTCAGGTCTATTTTGATGCCAGTACCATGCTGATTTTATCACAGTAGCCTTGAAGTATAATTTCAAGTCAGGAATTGTAATGCCTCCTGTCTTATCTTTATTGCCCAGAATTGCCTTTGGTATTCTAGGTCTTTTCCAGTTCCAGATAAATTTTAGGAATGATTTCTCTATGTCTGTGAGGTATATTGGTGGCACTCTTGTGGGGATTGCATTAAATCGGTACAGCAATTTTGGGAGTATGGCCATCTTCACAATGTTGGTTCTTCCTATACAGGAGCATGGGATATCTTTCCATTTTCTGAAATC